TTCCTTCCTTCCTTCCTTCCTTCCTTCCTTCCTTCCTTCCTTCCTTTCCCCACAGAAGTAGATGGGGAAACAGTAGTTGAATATGATCAAGGTAAGGAGGGCATTCTTTTAATTTTATTAGAACAGTTTGGATGAACTGTGAAGGGAACAGAACAGTTTTCAGTTGCCAAGATACCTGATTGGCTTGCTGTGTATTGTCAGAAAGCTAAACAAAACATTTTTGTCCTAGATCTATTAGCATCACAGATTGTTCAAGGGTTGCTGTATGCAGGCATTAATCTCAAATAAATGTGACAGAGAAAGCGGCAGGGAAATTATTATTTTTCTAAGAGTAGCATTTTTTATCTCCTTGATGTAAACATGGGCGGACTACTTTTCCTTCTTCAGAAGTATTTTCTAGGTAAATATCTCTAGTCCTACTAATCTGAATGCTTAGTAGCCATCATTTTTTAATTTCCTATTGCAGAGTTGGTACTTCTGGCGAATTAGCTTCAATCTTAGTTAATTAATATTTCCCAGTTAATGTTTCCCAGAGAATTCCTTCAGTGTTGCTGAATGGAAGATGAGCACTGTAATTTTCACCACATATACTTGGAAGAAAGCTCCAGAGAGCTCCAAGTATCTATGTATACTATCCTAAGTAATGTTAGGCCTGATTCAGCCATTAGCTGGACAATGTCTTGATCTTGCTGTGAGCCGGCCAGGGTTATCGTAGATAAGATGGGCAGCCATTCCAGTCAAATGAATGAATGAATGTCCATCTCTCCATGCCCTTATCGCTGATGATTGTTGTATATTTGTATATGTTACCATGTTGGAATGGGACTAACTTGCACAGAAGCAGCAGCTGTAACATGGTAAAAGATACAGTCTGAAGAGAGTATTCCTTCCAAAATTATGGGTTACTTTTTCCAGCAATCTTTCTAGTTATTTGACAGCAGGGGGCTTTTTTGCAAGATGATAATATTTTGATAAAATTTCCCTAACACAAAATAATTTGTAGTACTCTTTACGTGCCTCTTCATTACCTTTGTACCCTGCTTCCTTCCAAGGGACCCTTAAGTAGTGTCCTAGTGTTACAACAGTCCTCACAACCTGATGCAAATCAGTAGAATTTCAAAAGAAATTTTCAGTGGATAGGATTAACTCAACAGTTTATCATGTTTATATCATGCAAAGAAGCAGTTATAACATCTACTTTAAAACATGTCTATTTCATTAAACAAATCCGCAGCTTTAAAAAAACTTAGCACATATACGTTTAAACACATCCAGAATTCTAAAAGGGATTGTGGGTATTAGCCAGAGTAATTCACGTATAATCCTATGCAAGTTTACTCAGAGTTAAGCACAATTGTATACAGTAGAGTTTGCCATCCACTAAATTATGTGGTTTTAAATTAATTTTTTTTTAAAAGTCTTATGTAAAGTTTTTTGTCAAACTGGCAGAACTCAATAACAATATTTAAAATGATTGAATATAATTCTGCCTTTAAGAACTATGCCCCGGTACTGTTACTCTATTGCATTCTTGGTACTCTCTGAGCTTGGTTGGTTGCTTGCAGATCTAAGGGCTTTATAGAGGTTTATCTGATCTCTTTGTATTTTAATAAGTATAGCTATGAGGGCTGCAATTTGAGATCCAAGAAGGGAATTCTTAACGCTTTCTTCCCTAACTGATTTTATATGAAAAAAATTCCCTGCTGCTTCCCCCCAAAGAATACCATACTAGAGAAACAATGGCTAAATTTCCTTTTTTCCCATATATGGTTCCTATATCTCCATTTTGTAAAAATCAGTAAAAATAGGAAGGGGGGCGGGTAGGGGAGGAAACTACACCACAATTCAGCTTCAGGTGCAATTTGGCCTTAAGGCATTGTATATTCTTCTGTCTGAGTTCAAATTTAGGCATTGCTCTGTAACTATACAAGGGATCTGCATTCTTATTAATTATTCTCCCCACCCACCCCCAAGCAAGGCCACTGCTGATCTTAAGAAAATTAATATAAACACAAAGCCAGGGCAAGAATTTACATGTTTAAGAAGCTGTTTAGGACAGAACACAGCTGGGATACAGCTTAATCTTTTGGAAAGCAGCTGCATTTTTAGGTATTCTAAATAAACCAAAATAGAATCCTAAGTATTCCCTGAACAGGATGTCCATCTCATGCTAGGTTGAAAATGTTAGCTTTAGACAAAATTTATGGAGGTTAGTCAATCCTGTCGGGCCAGATATATTCAAAAATCAATTATTTTTTTCTTTTTAAGGTGGCAATCTACACTGAGAGACCTAGCATCCTTGGCCTATCATGCTATTCCTGATAAAACTTAGTCTAAGAACATAATTCAATGTTAAAATCTCCATACTGATTTCATGTCAGAACAGAGAACAGATGATGATGATGATTAAAATTGTTATGGCCATCCATTCCAGAAGACTTGGGGTGGCTTACAATATCAAACTAGAGAATTAAAATAATAGTAATAAGATAACCACCCAGACTAAAAAAATAACCATAACAATAATTTTTAAAAATAGGGGCTCCACAAAGACACTAACCTCAAGCCCTTTTTTGTAAGGTATAGAATGCTTGCCTAAGCAAATAAGAAAAAAGGACAAAATGAAATGGGGAGCATTGCTTGATTCTACACTCTGCCTGTTTCAAAGGTTCTTCAGTTGCTAAATATAGTAATATTTCCCTTCAATTCTCCAGTCAGTTTACAAACAGGGATTAAAAATATGGGGAAAACATACCAGTTCCCATTCTTTAATAATAACCAGCATGAAAAGATTGCTATTTGATATTAAAGGATAGGATGGTGTGCCAATCAAGTGGATACCTAGCTGGCTCAAAAACTGTGCTGAAAAGGAATCATCAACTGTTTCTCATCAACTGATGGCAGGAGATTTAATGTTTAATCCTATACTATTCAACATTTTTATGAATGACTTAGATGTACAGAGTGAGGGATTGCTTATCAACTTTGCAAATGGTATAAAATTAGGTGGGAGCTAATACCTGGGATCTAATAGCTAATTCCGTAGAATACAGATATAAAATTCAAAACAATCTTAGTAAATTAGAGAAGATGGCTGGAAATAACAGAATGAAATTGAATAGGCCAGTATAAATTTCTTCACGTGCATAAGATGGTGGATAATTGGCTTGGTAAGGCCACTTTTGAAAAGTGTTGGAATAGTAAATGATTACAACCAGAATAGTCAGCAGTTTTAGTGCGGTTTTTGATTTCCTAAAAAACAAGTATGCTTTCCAAATTATAGAAGTAATTATTTCACTTTATTCTACACTGAACAGACTCAATCTCAAGTGTCATGTCCAGTTCTGAGCACCACACTTTAAGAAGAATTCAGACGAACTAGAATACGTTCAGAAAGGAGCAATAAGGATCATCAAAGGATTAGAAATTAATGCTTCTGGGGGAAAAAAAGAGTCATGGAAAACTTTAGCCTTTGGAAGAGTGAAATCGGAAAATTTAGCCTTTGGAAGAGGAAGCTAAGGAAGGATAGCAGTTCCCATATACTGAAAAGATGTCAGAGAGAAGGTTAAGACCTAAAGTGCAGGGCAAAGATAATAGCAGATTCTGATTGAATGTTAGAAAAAACTTCTTAACAAGAAAAGATCAATAGTGGTACTAATTACTCAGAGTATTGGTAGATTCCTCTTCACTAGTTGTGTTAAAGCAGAGGCAAAATAGTCATGTTCCTGCACTGAGCAAGGAATTGAACTTAATGGCTTAATGACTCCGTTCAGCATTATGATTCTCCGAATATACAATTTTTCCAGACAGCAGAAATTGGGAATATGTGACTCTCCAATACTGATTGGAGATGCTGTGAACTGAAGTTCAACAATATCTAGAGAATGTGAGTTCTACCACATAGTCAAGCTGAAGATCTGGATTTTAGCACAATTATGTAATTGCCTATATTTGGACTATATCTTCATGACCACATCAGGATTTTGCAGAAAGAAATTACATTTTTATGGTAAACAAAAATATTAGGAAACATTTATTACAGAATAGGCTTTCATGGACTACCACCTACATCTGATACAGATGATTAGAAGTATGAAAGCTGTAATAATGTTACAGCTTTAACTGTAACATTATTACAGCTGTAATAATGCATAATAATGTTAATCTTTAAGGTGTCACCAGACTCTGTTGTATTTTGAATGCTACTATTATTAGATGTGCTTTTACGCTTTCTTGTTAGTGGGATAAGGAAAAATGAAACAGAATATAATTTATGTAGTTCAAATATTATTAGGCCATGTAATTGTCCTTTTAGACTTTTCCTTGTGGTTCTTCTCTACCACACAATGAACTGTTCACTTGCTCAAATTAATCATAGAGAAGTTGGTTCTTTACATTGTTTGATATGGTACAGAACTTGGGATTTCATTGAGGAATCCCTATGTGAGCTCCCAGAGTTCATTCTCTCTTCTGTTTGGCAGTGGGATTCTACTGCCATTTTTTTTCCAGGATCCTCCAATAATTTGCGTACAGCTGAGGTTTAGAGCTTAGCACTGGTATATGCTTTAGTGCTAGTTGAACAAGATTTTAGCATACATATCAGACTGAGAAAAAAATTCACAAAGAAAAATTACTCCCAACAATGAGCAAATGATCCTTAACTTTCATACAAGAGGAAGGAACAAATAGTGTATCTCAAGCTAGTATCACTCCTCCTTGTTGGCCTTTCTCCTGCAATCTCTGAATTTACTACCTTTGGAATAAACAAGAGAAGTTTTTGGTTTGGTTTGGTTTTCCTTTTTCCATTTCAGAGAGGTCTTGGCTTTCCCAGCAGTTTCTCATTAGTTTGCAAGCTAATGCTGAACCATGCTATTTTTAGATAGGGAGAGGAGCTGGAAATGGGTAGCAGTAACAGATGTAATTACTTTAAGTGGCAGACTAGCACATTATACACATTGCAAGCCTTTTGAGGTTGCACTTCAGCCTAGCACCAACGTCTTCCCCAAATCTTTGGCATATCTCATTTTGGCCAAGCTAACTGTCTTGGGCTTTTGTCTCACAGAATGTTCAGCCCAGCCTTCCTTGTCATCATTCTCCTCCCTTCCCTTCCCTTCTTTTCCTTCTTTCCTGCCACTTCTGCCAATTGGCAAAAACAACTTTGGACACTCTAGGAGAAGGCTTGACCACCAGTCTGATCTTGTCTGTTCCAAAATCCTGCTTCATCTTCATAAAATTGTGCCCTTATTTAATTGGTTTCCAGCTTAGATGTGTTAAGAATATTCTCAGCATACCATTTGCAGTACTATCCTATATAATTTACATTCCTTTCACCTAGTCCAAGGTTCAGATGAAACCACCCCGTAGACTACCTCAACTGCCTGGCCTGGATGTGGGGATAATTCAGTGTGTTCTCAATTGTCCCTTAGAATCATGAGGTTGGAAGGGACCTTTAAACACCTTTAAACAGGAGGGACCTCCTGTATTTCTTATGTGCAACTCAGCCCACAGGTCCCTAGTCTAGATTGGAGAGGGAAGATTTAATTTGCCTCCACACCCAACATTTCAAAAAAAAAAAAAACGGGAGGAAGGAAGGCAGGCAGGCAGGCAGGCAGGCAGGCAGGCAGGCAGGCTCATTACACCTCATATATTTGTGAGTAAATAAGAGGGTGGAAAAGACACAGCTACACTTTATAGATGGACATATAGCTTGGCCTTGTTTTTTTCATAATTTGGTAGAGAAGGATCTGTAGGATGAGGATTCTGTAGGTACATTATTAATTGCATTGCTGCCTATCTTGAAGACCAAACTGAATTCTTCCACATTTCCAGCTGGAGGTGGGGAATGTATGCGGGAATGATTTTTGGTTTCAAGACAGCAGTCTCTCCCAACCTGTTTCCAGATGTAGTTAGACTGCAACATTTCCCGTTCGGATCATTGACCATCATGTTTGTGGAAGGTGTGAAGCATTTGGGGATCCTGAGATAGGAACAACTGCATTGGGACATTACCTTCTACAGTTTTGAAAGGAAATTAGTTGCCCAAAGAGGGCATTTTAGGCAGGAGCATTAGCCTATAACAAATGTTGAATTGGCAGTTACTGAAAGGAAGAGCAGGAGGAAAATGACAAAGAAAAAAAGGAGATGCATGGGACAATAATAGAACTTTGTGGCAGCAATATCCTAAGACAAGTAAAGGGAAGAAGCTAGTTTAGTTCTTGAAGGATTAGAAAAAGGCAACAATGCAGGTGCTGGTCATGGGTGGGTAAAAAAAAAAGCCACAACTTTATGAATATTTCTGGAAGGCACATATAAATGAGATTTTCATATGGTTTAAAGCTGTCTGATACCTCCTTTTATCCCTCTCGTTAATCTAAATCTTGTGTTTTAAAAATGACAAATTTGCAGAAGAGTTTGGAGTACATGCAAGAAAAGGTGATGAAATAAAGAATGTCCAGTTCTGAGAAAGTGTCTCCCTTCCCCACTCCCAAAATAGGATCCAGGGAATAAAGCAGGTACCCAAAAGAAATGTCAGGAATGCCTATAAAAAAATAAAACAGGCAGTGGAAGAGAGAGAGAAGGAAAAAAAAAGCATCTGCCAGATTTCTATTACTGAAGCTTGCATAAGGATAGAACAGCAGTTACACAGATGCTCACAATCACAAGGCAGATGCAATATGTACAGTAGCTGGGTTTGTCTTCAAACAACAGCTAAAATAGCCTTATCTGACAACAGTCCTTGTATTTGTGACTAGTTTCAGGGGGCCACTATTTTCACACAAATCCATGCAGCTTCATCTTGGCATATGGCATTCTGGAATCTGTCTCTGGAATCACTGAGGTACATATTGCGCATAGAAAAATTTGATCATTGTGGAATGGAAGGTCTCAATACAGCTTCATTAGTCATCTCGCTGTCAGAAAGAAAGATCTGTCATATTAGCCCACATATTAAGTTGATTAAGTTTGGGGACTTGGGTAGTACTTACACTGATGTTAGTACTTTGGTCTGTCTTGATTATATTGTTGTTGTTATCTCTAAGTCACTTTAAATTTATTTGGCAAAGAAAAATGGAGCATAAGAGTTTGAAGGGTAAATCAGTTATTCTTATTTAAATTTAAAAATATCAGCCGCCCAACTCCAATGGAATCATGAATATTAGTAGTTTAAGGGTTTATGGCTCCAGGCAACTTAGGCATCATTCTTCTGTTTGCTTGTTTTTCTCTCCGCATGTAAACTTAGAGCCCCGGAGCTACGTGGAATCTGTGGCTCGTACAGCAGCAGCAGGCAGTAGTGGTGGAAGCGGCATTGCTGGGAAGCCCCAGGCATCCTTGGCTCCAGAGGCCTACAGCACTGAGACACCTGTAAGGAATGAATCCCTCAACAACTCCTTCACCTTGCCTAGCCCAGCCTCCGCCAGCAGCCCTGTACATAGCATGGATGGGTAAGTTGCAGGAGAGAGATGGCTGTCAGAACTGCCTTCTGTCACCACGATCAATTGGTCTGCGTCCTTTTTGCTTACATTCATCCGCTCATGATCCAGGAGGAAGAACAGCAATTGTGTATCATCATCATCATCATCATCATCATCATCATCATCATCGCTACAAAAGCAATGACAACTGGGGGAACTTATTTTCCCCCAAATAGAAAATGTGAGGGTATTCCCAGTTATGATCAAGAAAAAAATGTTCCATGGAGCAAGAACCTCGTAAGAGCTTCTTCAATAACTGTTGGTTACCTTGCTCTTTTTTGTATCATATCTTTAGCCATCAGGACAGTTTGACCAAATTGAACTGGTTCATTATTTCTTTTCTTCTAAACACATTAATAAGCATTGTCCCTACTGGAGGATTCCAAAATATACCATGTGTCAATATAGTTTGTGATGGGGAAAAAACACACAGCAATTTTGTTCTTCCATAATTCAGAAGATATTAAGTAGCTGTCTTATTTCAGGGCGATGAGTTTCTCAACACCGTTTTACCACATTGCTATAATAGGATAAATAAGACATCTCATGGTAACCCTTTTATGAATTGAACCATAGCAATCCAATGAAAGTGCATCAAGAAATTGTTTCTTAGCACCTCAGAATAGGGCCATGCTGGGAGGTGATGGAAAGCTGTGATCTATGGCAGATCATTCCACATCAGCATATTAGAAGCTTGACTAGAGGGACTTGCCATTAGCTGAAGGGAGACTTGCCCCAATGTGTGGGTAAATAGTATTTCCATAGGAGAGTGAAAGTTAGAAGGAAGTATGCCTCAAGGGTTGTGGAATGAAGGGGTACTCAAGACCCTGATGCTGTGGGTAAGCATTAAGCATAGCAAAGACAATGACCTCTTGTTTCAAGAAAGGATTTAGAAAGCACATGCAATGTGGCACATGCTTTGCATTGGGTAAAAAAGTGCTTCTCTGAGTATCTTGTGGGAGAGTAGAGCCTTTTTTGTTGTTCTAAGTGAAATAACTATTGAATGTATGACATATGGATATCTTCATGTAAGAAGGTAGTAAGGTATTTTTGTATGGACAGATGAAATGATTATCTTCATTTTCATTTATGACCTTTGATTTTACCAAACTGTTTATAAATCTGTAAGTACCAGCGTGTTTTGACGGCATGCCAATATCCATTCACATTTGTCCACGTGCAAATGTCATATTCCAAGTGTATTGTGAAATTCTTTCCTCTCTAAAATGTTTGCAGTAAAGAAAGTATGTTCCATAATGTATTATAAACTGAAATTACAAGATGAAGTCAAAATGACTGTCTCACAGGAAATTGCTCAATAAATTTATCTAAATATTGTTTCAGAAAGAGGAACAGAAATGCAAATACCCCTGAGAACAAATAATTATGGTCACTTATCTGAATGAATATCAAAGATAGAAGTCTGAGCATGATTTTAAATCACTATGACTTAAAGCAGGAATAGGGCCAGGTGGCCCCATTCTCTTAGGAGAAAGCTTTTGGGGACCACATCAGGGCAGTGGGTGGTACCAGAGTGAAGAAAGAAGCTTCTCTTTTCCCCATTCCTTTAGTTCCCTCTTACTCACCCACTTTCACATTTCCCAAGGGAAAATCAAGGAAACAACCCAACTTTCTTATCAGAACTTGAAACCAACATATATTAAAGGCTTTGGAAATGAAACTGAGGGCTGCATATAGTCCAAGAGCCACAGCATATTAGCCTCTGATTTGGTGAGGTATTCATGAAGATGCTATGTTTGTGCTCCAAACCTGTTGCAATTTCAAACACTATTTCAGACTATGAATGAATCACTTGATAAAGTATTCAAATATGTTCCTTTGTTTCCTCCAGGATCTCTATAGGTAGCTACCCTTCAGAAAACAGTACCAGCATAGCCATTTCCTCCCAACCGTCCACTGAGTCCAGCTTCCAGTCCGCTAATCTTTCTCAGGGTCCGTCAGCACACAGCAGTTACCAAAATACATCTACATCAACTCAGGGCCTCCCGGCCTATATGAATGCCGACTTCCCTGATGGCCGAACCAGCACTCAGCAAGATAACCATCCGAGGTCTCAAGCCCAGATCAATGCATCTGGGGTCCATGTCATGCCTGGAAGCCCCCATGCTCTCCATAGAACAGTAGCTACCAATACTCCCCCTAGCCCAGGATTTGGGCGAAGAACTGTTAGCACAAACATGGTGGCCATTCCAGGAAGCCCAAGTATGAACAGGCACTTAATGGGTCCCCATGGCACTGTTGTTTCATCACCTGGGAGTCCAAGCCATGCTCGTCACCAGCCCATAGCAGGGGGCAGCACAGCCATTATTTCTGGGAGTCCCAGTCTGGATCGACACATGATATGTGGGTACTCAACTCCAGAGGAAAAGCACCAAACGTTGTCTCGCCAGAGCAGTGCTTCAGGTTATCAGGCTCCCTCTACCCCATCATTTCCTGTCTCCCCGGCATACTATCATGGAGTTACCCCACATTCCTCTTCCCCTGATTCAGCAGTATACAGACAGGGCAGCCCCAACCCAACCCAACCTTTGCTCCCGGAGAAAAGAAGGATGTCATCAGGGGATCGATCAAACAGCCTGCCAAACTATGCTACAGTGAATGGCAAGACTTCGTCACCCATTTCCAGTGGCATGTCCAGTCCCAGTAGTGGGAGCAGCATGGCCTTTCATCATACTCTGCCAGATTTTTCCAAATTCTCAATGCCAGGTAAAACCTTGTTTCCTGTTCTCTCTCACTTGAGGGGTAAGAATAATGGATGATAGTAAAGGTTCTCAAACTTTGTGGTATCTCGACCTCCTTAGAAGAAATGAACTTGTATAATATAAAACTAAACAAATATATAAAATTTGATTTATCAGAAGATTGCAACTATCTATTTCAGAGCTGTGCAGGCAAAATGAGGAGCGGAACCCAGACCAAATTTTCACGGTATCCCCACTTTCTGCACAAGCCAGACCAGAGTTTTTAAATATGTGATTGTCCTCTAAGTTCCTCATCACCCCTCAGGGGGTCCCAATCCACAGTTTGAGAACCTCTAAGTTAAAAGGAGATGCTTTGTTATGTTACTTTCTATTTACTTTGCCTATCAGTATTTAATGGATGAAGAGTGATCACCGTTAAGAATTTTCTTAATATAATCATAGTTTCGGTATATGCTTTCCAATGAGAGAGGACTAGTATTTTCTAAGTATCAAGGATGCATATTATGGATCTTTTGCCCATTTATGACAAGTGTTTTTGGAACCTTGGAAGAATAAGTCCACACCTGATCTGCAGCAGTGGATTGCTAGTATGAGTTACTTGCCAGTGTTTCATTAACTTCCCTTCAACAGGCGGACAAGGAAAAGGAATTTTTAACTATCTGTCAAATTTTATGGCATTGCTTTGTTTGATAAAATTTCTAGGCTCTTTATTCCACTCCCCCATCTCTTCCCAATTTTAATCTTACATTACATGGTCTGTTTATAAAATTAATTATATGATGTGTTTTTTTTAAACCCTGAATGATGAATTTGAAATTTCTAATTGTTTTTGTGCCACTACTATATCATCACTATTATTCTTTTGCTTAATAAACACAGGAGAGGTTATTGATTTTCAGTCTTACTAATAATCATCATAGCTTCATAAAATAGAGTTTATCTCAAATTAATATATTTCAATTAAAACTGGGGGCGAGTGCATGATAGCTGAATTCAAATGACAATTTTTAATCAGTTCAGTTAAAGACCTAGTACAGGTAGTCCCTGGGTTAAGGACGCCCAGGTTACAGATGACCCATAGTTAAGAATGGAGCCTATTATAGCAAAATTTGAGTTAAATGCACAGTGATTCAAGTTAAATACACAATGGTTCGAGTTAATTACACAATACTGCTTATACAGTATTATACAATAATACTGTTCTGGCTTATATACAAATTTGATTTAAGGACAGACCTTGGGAACAGAACTTGTTCTTAAACTGGGCATTACCTGTAGGTCCATTTGTAGAGTATGTAAAGCCGGTTAGTTTTAGTGATTTATTTTTTCTCTGGTTGTGCAAATTGTGAGAAGTCACTGAGTGTGGTCAATTAACATTTCAGTATATTGTGCAATCTCAGAAATTGGCTAATTCAGTAACCAGGTTAAGCAAGTTGTACAAACCCAGTCCACAAAATTTCTGTTACACAAATGTATCACGTTCTCCTTGCGTCTCTTTTTCTGTTTCTTAGACAGCAGTCCTGAAACCAGAGCAAATGTAAAGTTTGTCCAGGATACCTCGAAATACTGGTACAAGCCAGAGATCTCCAGAGAACAAGGTGAGTTTTTGCCCTAGCAAAATAAGATGGCTCACTGATGCTTCTTAGCAGTTCAGACAATGATGTGATTTTCTTTGATTTCCATAGAAACAAAGCAATCACAAAACAAGGGGAACACTAAACATTCTGTTAGAACATGTCTTGTTATCTCCAAGAACCCCCAGAATGGCAGGATTTATGATAACTCTTTTTGGATCTCTGTGGATAATTATGGTTCTTCTGAGGTACAAGATAGACAGAATGGTTTCTCCTAGTTTTTGCAGCTCATGTGACAACCTTATCTTTACAAGTTGGCAAAATTATATCAATGATTAGGATACTTCAGAATGAGAGAACATATCTAAGGACTGATTGGTGTCTACATGGCATTATTGTCATTGGACTTGACATTATTTTCATTATCACATATCAGTAATGTAATTAATATATCAAGAAATTAAGCAGTAAATGTTGGAGTTTGTCTGCATCAAACTCCTTAATCAGCCTCTCTCCATCCTTGGGACCCTAGGTGCTGTTGGATTACAGCTGTCATTATCCCTGATTATTGACAATGTGTCTTCAGATGATGTAGCTGTAGAAAATACTGGAGGATTCAAAGTTGGGAGAGCTCCTCCCTCCCTCCGTGCCTTCCTTGACTGTGGGAGCAGACAGAGTGATTATACAATCATCTTGTGGCACATGGATCTTCTTCTCTTGTCCCTCCACGAGTAGAAAATTTGGTTTTCTCTATATAATTAAGAAATTAAGAAAAAATGGTTTTCTTAATTGGAAAAAAAGCAGTTAAAAAAAAAAAGCAGTAAAACCTTGATTTAACAGTCTATTTGTGGGGAGGCATGTCTGCTCAAGCCAAATCTATATTAAATCCAAACATACATAATTTGCATCAGTTTGTGCCATTACATAGAAATCAATTATGTAATGACACAAATGGATGCAAAAACCTAAAAACATCAATTATGTATGTACATCAATTGACACAAAGGACATAAATTCTGCCAGTTTTCCAGACTGCTTCAGAAATAACAGTTGGCAAAGCCCCAAGTAAAATTTTGTCCATTGCTTCCAAAGTCTGCTGAAAGGAGGTCTGGAGAATTGGATTTTTATTGTATATTCTTCTTCCAATCAAAGAAGTAAATTTCTACATTTAGATTGGTTAGCAATTGAGTATGCAAGGATATCTCTCCAAATTCAGGGTGGCATGGTCTAAAGGTCTACAAAACAGATTGGCCCCCATTTCAGCTTTCAGGATGGCAAACCTCTCTCTCCAGCTCAAGCTGATAAGCTGCCTGTCAGATAATTGGGAGTGAGCCCTTTAAAAGAGTAAGTTCATGTATCTGTCAACAGCAGTTCTTTTCATCCATTCAACAGCTGAAGCACTTGGCACATCCCTCATTTCTTTCATTTCTCCCCTTTCAAGGGTAGAGTGACTGTTACTGAATGAACATTCGCCCTGTTTCAGATCAGATTCTCAGGGACAGGGTCATTCCTGTCCCTCCTGTAATTCAGTCTTCCCAGAATCAAACCACAAAAGAGCTTTCACATTTAAATCATACAAGTTGATGAGAAAATCCCCCTTAAGGGGGGAGTGGAATGCACTCATCCAGGGCCATGTTTGTTCCTTATTCATGACATTGCTAATAATATGCATTTTTCCACTGTCCCCTGAATGCTCCTGGGGTTTTTTTTTGTTTTTTTTTGTAAAGTTTTTACACCTGACACCATAATCCATAACTAGCTTAATCCCCAGATGTTACATGGGAGACTTACAAAGGTGAATTCATGTCATCTTTCTGAAAGAAAACTGAACTGTAAGTCAAAGAAGAAACAGAGAAATAGCTGGTCTCCCAAACTAATGGCCATGGACAGGACAATCACATCTGTCATTTTGGAGAACTCTAGCTTCTGAGTTTCCAAGTTATCTAAAACCATGTTAGCATACACTGAACAGAGTAGAAAAGAGAAGCTTTTTATTTGTTTTCCAGACTTGGTTACTTTCTTATGCGAAAAAGACATCTTGATGCCAACTTGAGGCAAATATACATTTCTTCCTATATTTGGTGTATTTCTGGTTCTCTAAGGATGGTGGATTTAGTCTTTCCTATAATTCCTTGGCAATGTTCATGGATTTCTCTCTCTATCTGACATCAGAGAGGCAAAAGCTGCAGATCTTTCTATAAGGCCTGGGAGAAAGATTCCAAAGTTGTATCTCTTCCTCCACAATCAGAGCTCTCTCTCTCTCTCTGCCCATGGAAGAAAAGAGCCAACTCGTACCAAACCTAGGAAAAAATGCTACTGAAGTCAATACAGATTATCTCATAAAAGTATGTAAATAGATGAGTGACAGGTATAAAAAACATGGAAAATTTTCCCTATAAGAAAAGGCTGCAGCACAGGAGACTTTTTGGTTTACAGAAATGTTGATGGGGGATAGGACATGATAAAGGTGTGAAGTTCTGTCATATACCTCATAATGGTGTCATAAAAGCAAGAAAGTTTTTCTAGTTCCTGACATATTTTATGCTTATTTCACAATAACATGGAACGTGAGACTTATTAAGTACCTTCATCATGGCTTCCTCCAGGTCGACTCTGTGGGGGAAGCAGTAGTGTATTTAGTGGGGGTGTATTTAGTAGTGTATTTAGTGGGATTCATGGGGGCCATCCTTCTTTACACTGATAGTCATGTTACTTACTCATTTCTTTATAGGTTTTTCTTATTAAAAGTTTAGATCCATTTATGTTCATGTAGTACACTCTACTTCTTTCCCAGCCATTGCATTGCTAAAAGACAAGGAACCCGGGGCTTTCATCATTCGAGACAGCCACTCTTTCCGGGGAGCCTATGGACTGGCCATGAAAGTAGCTTCACCACCTCCAGGTGTTGTACAACAGAGCAAGAAAGGTATAGCCTTCATACAACTTCCCACTACCTTTCCCTTTTGCCCTCATGGAGCATATGCATGGCAGGCTGCTTCAGTCCGTGGCGAATAGATTTGAGCTAGGACCAGCAAAGGTGGTTTTTGGTGATAGAAAATTGAGATGTTAATCCCAGGAAAATATATTCTATAGCTACAGCTATGCCAACCTGTGCACTGACACAATGAATATACTGTTGGGGGCACAGTCATTGTTTTCTTGTGCTAGAAATAGCCAGTCTATAGCTTACGCTGTCTTTTATGTGGCAATTTCTGTGACAAGCTTAATCAAACCCATCTATACTGAAATTCTGATTGATCCCTCTAGGAGATATCACTAATGAGCTGGTAAGGCACTTCCTGATAGAAACCAGCCCTAAAGGTGTGAAACTAAAAGGATGTCCCAATGAACCCAATTTTGGTGAGTACCTACAGTTTTGTCTTCCGGGCTTCTGTCTCATCCTGCCCTCTTGTGGAATCTGTAGTGACAGCATGTGTATTTTTTGAAGTTTCAGAAGTAAGGAACAGGGTATTAATATTTAACTAACATGCATCTACTGAAGCTTCTTGGTTAAATAGTCTAAACTTCTGAAGTCTCAGAAATTCAGAGTTATTTGCAAGAACAGGAAGCATTTTTGTACAACATGCATTTCTTTTAGGCATAATTGAACATGACACAGTTGCAATGATATTGCTTACTCTTTAGCATTGTGTGTAGAATACAGATTATATACCACTGCCATTTAATTTCATCTTCTCACCAGAGTAGGTATCATTTCCATTTCTCTGTAAATATTCTCAGTCCTTTCATGCACCCCATAAGTGCATGTCATGAATTATTCTTTGCCAGTCTGAAGCAGCATAATTTATGCTACGTGATAACAGAATAGCTTAGTTCATGAATTGACTTTATGTGCAGACACCTTCTTGATTCCTTGTTGAACAACTGCTTGCCACAGAATTCTGTGGACTTAATACAACAGAAGCATAGGCTTGTGTGATATGAAGCAAACGCTGGCTAAATCTAAGCACTGATGCCATGTGAAAACAGGATATGTTATAAACATCAGAATGGATAGTATTACAATACGAGAAAATTAGAACCAGATATTTCCAAGAAGTAGATTAGTAGTATGTGCCTGATAAATTAAGATGAAATGTAAGCGACAGGTTTTAGAATGAGACTCTGAACATTTAAGCTTACTTTAGTGAGCATCCCATTTATTTGCATTGCATAACCATCAACAAGGTATTAATGACATCATGACAAAATACAGAGGCAGAAATGTGTTTAATAAATGTGTGTCTATTACCTTTGGAGTGGGCAGCCATAATAAATTTAAATAACTAAATATTTCAATTTATGTGGCCGTCCATCTCAGTGTTGTGACCCTGGGCAGTGAATAGTAGTTAAAAAACCATAAAATAACAATAACACCCCAAATAAATACATAAATAGCAGCCAGGTAAAGAACCATTTGATCCATCAATGCAGCTATCCCCCAGGCTCTGTCATATATGCCCAGTGGCATAACCAGGTCTTCAAAGCCATACAGAAGGCCACCAGAGTTGGGACCAATTTAATTTCTGGGGGGATGATGTTCCAAAAAACAGGCATCATGACAGTGTAACATCATCAGTTGCCTTTAGCTTTGACCAGATCTCTTTTTCCCTTCCCAGGTTGCCTGTCTGCTCTGGTGTATCAGCACTCAATCATGCCTCTGGCATTGCCCTGTAAGCTGGTCATTCCTGACAGAGGTAACGTTCCCAGCATCATTACATGGGCATAATGTCCTCTTATAGAGTATTTCATCCCGACAAGCACAGGGACACCAAGAAAGTTTTAAGCCAGCCAACTTCAAAAAAATAGAGGCAACAGCAAAAATATTCTGCAAGTGGAGGAGAACAGAGATTAGGTAGTGTGTATCAACCTATGAGTTAGAGGTGTAATCTGAGGGATTCAGATACAGAAAGTTTATTATTCCAAAGTTAGCAACCATGTTGCATGCATAGAGGAGCAAAGGTAATACCAGATGCTGTTTCAGTATTAGTCCACTGCTACAGTCTACAGGTTATATATAGATGGGCACCTGCAAACATGACAGGGGCAGGGGAGGGGGATAATATAATGTGTGTTATGACATCACAGCAAACCCCATGACTCATTACTTGTGTCCTTGTGCCATCATTTTTTGTCATCATGGATGCTTATGATAATATATACCTTCATTTACACACTCAACCAGCCCAACTGTAAATCTTCAAAAACTAACCCAGAAAAAAGGACTACTCACAAGCTATATCTTATTCTTGAGTAGAGCCATCATGCACATTGAGACTTTTCCATGCATGGAAGTATTTCTATGCCTGCCAGTTCCCCACTGTTGAACCAATAAGCCCCAGTCTTGGTCAGAATTGGATACTCAGCCATGAGGCTCCTAAGACTCTGCTCATCCTCTAAGGAGGATTCCTGATGGTGGCTTATAATACACAGTATGGAAAGGTCTCATGGGCATTTAGGAGATACTGCAATGAAATAGAAATATGGGTAATTATACACAGACACAGGTGTTATTTGTTGTATTTATATATAGTATTTTATATCCATTGTTACTAAAATATCTTTGTTTCACAGAGTATGTGTTAGTGTAAAGAATGCTCACCTTTATATCCATTGTTACTAAAACATACTTTGTTTCACAGAGTATGTGTTAGTGTAAAGAATGCTCACCTCTGCACTACAGCTCAGGAAATATCATCCATCTGTGCTAAAGGCAGGAAGATCTCCTTTCTACATATTCATACAGGGACACGGGAAATCTTCTCCTTTTAAATTCCTACTTTGGTCAAGTAGACCCAATTAGAAATACCAAAATCCCTTTCCTTCAAAGCTGATCTCAGCCCATGTTAGAAGACATGAGTCTTTAATCAGATAATTAAGGGAATAGACAAATGTCCCATATGTTAGCTTTCCCCAAGTTCAAGCACTCCCAGCAAGAACCAGATTGGGGATTCCCAACTTATAGTGAGGGAGTAGAAGATAAGAATCTCCCCATATTTAATAAAGCATAAGGAATAGCCATATTTTTCATCAACAAATTCTACTGCCATATATTTAATTGAAAGCCAGGTTTTTAGTCCACAAAAACTGGGTGGTATTTTTGTGGCATTCATATGCATTTGTTTGTATAGGCCTTAAGAGCCATTAAAATACTATTCTGGGGGGCTTCCATGGGAGGTATGGAGAACTGAAGATGGCTCCGTGAAAGCAGAGCTGATGACTGCAGCAAGGACCAAGGAACCAAGTGTCTAGACCAGTTCCTTGGAACCTCTCCAGATAAGGAGAGGATGGGAGATCACCCAAATGTGCTCCAGACAGCTGCTCCTCACAAGGAGACTTCAGGACAGAGGTTTTCCGTAGGGTTGAGCACCGGGAAACAATGTGATCAGTCACCTTGCTTG